GCCTCCTGTACACTCCCCACTGAGGATCAAGCCAGCAACCCGGCCATATGCTCCAACCAGGAATCAAAGGGTGACTTTCTGGTTCATAGGTCTACATTCAACCACTGAGCCATACCGCCAGGCTCAGCAAATATTTCTACAGAATTCCTACTGGTCTTACATTTGGTTCCAAAATTGGGTCTATTTTCTCTTTCCTGCCATATGTTCTCTGCAATTTCAGTTTCTCAAAACCATAAATGTTTAAGGAAAAAATGTGCTGACTCCAACCCTGTAATTTTCTCACTGGGGAATGAGCGGAGGCCTATCAGGCCAGCTCTTGGGGACGAGTGGGCGACAAGAGGCTGGGTTCCTGGATGCTCCCCTGTGCAGGGCGCCAGCTCTCCCCAGAAAGACCTGAAGATCTCAAAGCACTTTAAAAACAGTGGGAACAGGCCAACTCCTGTGTGAGATAGTAAAACCGGACAGTAAAGTCCCCTCTGCAGACCTTTAACAGGCACATAATTGAAGATGGAAATAAAATCCCTCGCCCCAACTCTTTCTGGTTGGCTACTTTAGTTACTAGGGAATTCAGCTTTGATTATGCCTTCGATCTGGAGTGTCTCTTGGCCGTGATTTGAGGGTCAGTATTTGCTAGAGCCAATCACACCCACCCAGTCTCTGGTGTGCAATGGCTTCTGGGCAACTGGGTCCCTTGGGAGGAGCCCTCTGCCAGTGCTGGGCCATAGGCTTCAGCCATGATGGGCATGGGGACTGTTCCTCAAAACCAGGCCCCCCCAGCCTGAGTTTAGGAGGGCAGAATTTACAGGCAGGGAGATGGGGACAGGAATTAACCTGTCTCCTGGCAGATTCTGGGCTCTTTGTGTGTGAGATGCAGGCCACCTTCCACACGGAGCCCCGGCCCGGTGAGCCCTCACCCTTTGGCTTTCCGCTCCAGTGCGGCCTCCTCCAGGAGCCTCTGGCCCTCCTACAGCTGCTCAGCTTTCGGAGCTCCCTGCACGTTTCCTTTGTTTGTTGTAGCTTGTAACTGGACACTTATCTGTGTGGTTGTCCGATGGACTGTCGGCTCCCGGGCTAGCCTGTGCATGCCACCCTTTGTTATCCTGTATCCCTGTGCCTGCAGTAGGAGGGACTCAACAAATCTGTCTGTTTAGAGAAAGTTAATACAATGGAGGTGGGGAGCCATGGCAGAGGCAGAAAAGATGCAGAGGGAGTGGTACTGAAGGCCCCGGGGAAGCAGAGAAAAATCTGCATTTGGGATAAACCTGTTCTCTTTCACACTCAGACAGGAAACATAAGGTCCCCTGGCCTGGACACAGGACAGAGGCAGAAACACAATCGGGTATCAGGATGGTTTCATGCCCTCATTTAAGGACAAAGCCATTTGGGCTGACAGAGATATGGCTATCTGGGGTCTACTTTGCTGCTGATTTGGGGGACCACCAGGCTTTTCCCAACAAGGGTCGCATAACCCAGCCTCTGCTGACTGGGGCGCAGTTTCCTGGCTCCCTGTGGACGGGCTGTACTTTTCATTTGGCTCTGTGCACACTGGAAGGAGAGGTGTGTGCACCTCATGGGCTGTCCTCAACCAGGACCCAAACCTAGGTCCCGAGTCTCTGCAACACCCTTAAAGGTATACCCGAGACCGACCAAGGAACCCTGACTCTGCCGGGCTGTGTTAGAAGGTAGAGCGTGAGTTGGGAGTTGCCAAGGCGAGGGCTCCCCAGCTCACTTGCAGCGGCATCTAGACCAAGCTGCACGGCCTTTCTGAGCCCTGTGTTTTCAGCTGTGCAATGAGAGGTGGGATTCGATGCGGGGTTGTCTGTGAAGCACTTCTGAGCAAGGGCCTGCCACGAGGGGCTGCTGTGGACACCATGCAGCAGCGTACACAGAGAAGGCTGGGCCATGTCGGTGGCTGAGATGGTGTGAGGCTCACCCTGGCTTTATGGGTCTCCTTGCACAATTCCAGATTTCAAAACCATGGAGCAGAGACACGGGGAGCTGGGCCTGTCTCATTCCCTGGTGGCCAGCATCTCTCATGTGCTTCCCCAACCAAACACCTGACCGAGCAAGGCGTGGCTCCAGGAGCAGAGGAGCCACTGGAGTTGCTGATTCGGCTGCAGGGGACTTGGCCGCTGCTCTCCACACTGGGGACTTCCTGGACTCGGGTGCTCTGAAAACAGGGCTAGGAATGCTTCTAATTCAGCACTGTGCCCTCAAAAGCCACTTTGAGGACTAGTGGCCTCTTGGCTGGGCTGCGGGGAAACCCTGGCCCACCCCTGCCCACTGGCCCCCGAAGGATGCGGCCTCTGCTAGACTGTGGCCAGGCCCTGTGGGTGTAGAGTCTGCTGAGCAGGCAACACAGGCCCAGCCTTTCCAAATCAGACGCCTCAACACTGGCCACCATTCCAGGCTGACTTCAAATGAGGAAACTGGCCAAAGAGCACCCGCCCCACCAGAACCTTCTCCCCTCTTCCGTCCTTGGCTCCCCATCCAGCGCGGCTCGGTAAAACATGGCTCAGTAAGGTACCAGGCAGATGCAGGGACCCTCTGGACAGACCTGGCCCTGTAGGGACATGGGAACCCAGGTGCTGTCCTCTGGAAGGATCTGGGAGGCGGTGGGCTGGCCTGGAAGTTTGGCATTGCGAGGCAAGGGAACGGTGGTCCTCCCGAACCTGCCGCCCTGGCTCATGGCCTGGGACAGAGCTGACACCTGTGGCTGGCAACTGTGATAGGCAGTGGATCTTATGCTCTGACGCTCTCTTTCCAGGGACCAACAGGTGGGTCCTGGAGTGAGAGTGAAGCACAAGCTGCCCAGTGGGCTGGCCCCTCACCAAGAGGGGAGCTATTTCAGTGTCTGCAGAGATGGGGACAGGCAGGCTGGCCTTAGCTTTCACTGTCAGGCAGCATAACAAATAGGGACTCACACACCGGCCCCGCAGGCCTGCTGGGGATGCCCCAAACAGGAGCAGACACCCAGGAGGGTCTGACAATCAGTTATTGACTGGAACTGCCTGGCTACCCGACAGCCAGGCTAACGGCCCCTGCATTTCTGAGACAAAAAGACATGTTGTTGGCACCATGCAGGGGATAATGGGGGTAGGGATGGAGGGGCTGAGGGAGACCAAAAAAATGAATGTGTGCACCGTGGACCTGAGCCTCGGTAGGGGAGGAGGGGGAAGGCGCTGAGCTGAAGCCCCGGGCCTGTTCAAGGAAACATCTGCATACATGGCCCAATTTTGATAATGTGTCTCCTTGCTGGTTTCAGTTTTAGGCAGAGAAGTGTAAGGCTCATTTGTTAGCTTCACTGTTGGCTGTGCCTCCTTAAAAATGAAAGAGAGGTGGACCTACCTACACCAGGATGAGACCTTTCATCCTAAATGTAACATTAGGTATGCATGTGTTTGGGTGCACACAACACAGACAGAAACACACACAGGCGGGCAGCACGTGGGTGCAACACAAGCACACAGATGCACAACCCTGCACCTCGGCCCCAGAGCCAGCATGAGGCCAGGCTTCAGATGGGCTGGGGTGCTCTTGGCTTCTGGAGGAAGCTCTGTCTGAATTTCCCTGCTCGGATGTGCAGCCAGTCTTAAACGGGCTCAGAAATAGCTCAAAGAGCTGTCATCTCCCCAGCTGGGGCACAGAGAGGGGAGGTGCTGAGCAGAAGAGGGTCTGAGTGAGGTGGCTTGAGGGTGACCTTGCTGCCTGGGCCTCATGAATGTTTTTTAAATATATATATTTTATTGATTTCAGAGAGGAAGGGAGAGGGAGAGAGAAACATCAATGATGAGAGAGAATCACTGATCAGCTGCCTCTGCACGCCCCACACTGGGGATCTAGCCTGCAACCTGCGCATGTGCCCTGACGGGGAATCAAACATGACTTCCTGGTTCATAGGTTGATGCCCAACCACTGAGCAACACCAGCTGGACATAGGCCTCATGAATATTAAGGAGATGGAGGTAATGGATGCTCGTGGGAGGAGGGTAGGGATACAGGTGTTCCTGAGTCACAGGCACAAAGGCCATGCTGGCTTATCCCTTTGCTAGGGGCCGCAAGAGCTAAATAGCCTAGAGAGAGGTATGGACACCCACGGAGACCTCTGCCCCTGGAGTGGAGGCAACAGAGGCTCACACCTGCACATCGCTTTGCCCTGACCCGTTAATCTACAGTTTAGCAAGAGTTACATCAGGGGCCCCTGAAGTAGGAAGGTGAGGGCTCTAGATGGGACCTTGCAGGAACAGGCAAGGACACCAAGGGTCCCCAAATGGGGTGTGGAGCACACACACTCTCAAGGCCATCGCTGCCACCCCAGCGTGGGCCCTGTCCTCCGGCTGCATTTTGAGGCCATACTGTTTAAGAAACAAGCCTGGGTTCACACACAGTGCAGGGAGGCGCTCATGTGTGAGGGCTCAGGGCAACTGAAAACACGGGTTGGGGGCACACCCACTCCCATGTCCCTTTCTGGGCTCCCTGCTCACGAGGTCTGACTGTGACACTTGTGTAAGTGACAGGAGGTGAGATATGACTGGGACATCCTGACTGACTCTCAAACGGGCAGCAGGTGCACCCATGGTCTCAGATGACTGCACTACACCAAACACTCAAAGAGGAAACAGGTATGTCATAAAGGAAAAGCAATTAGGAGGGACGTGATTCTTTTGCCAGCCTTCAAACAACTGTGTCTGGAAGGCCCCTCCTGTGACCCCCACGATTTTGGAGGCAATGAGGAATGGGTTTAGGCTCGGCCTGCCTCTGGTCCTTCTCCTGCAGCTCTGTGGTCAGGGACAGCCTTTCAGTGGACCAGCCTGCAAAGGGGGTGAACCCTACCCTGCAGGGAGCGCAATCAGCCAGCCCGTGGGCAGCGCTGTTAGAGAGCACGGAACCCCTAAGTGATAGGGACCCAAACAAGGTGGTGAGGCGCTGGGTGTCATGGTCTTGCGTTGAGGAATCACAGGTTCCCCGAACACCCCCGCACTGCGTCACTGGGCCAATACCTGATGGGCTCTGGGCAACAGAGGAGGTGGACGAGGAGCTGGCACCTCCTGAGTCGCAGTGGCTGGTGCTCCCGCTGCCGCTGGGGCTCCCGCTGGCAGATGGTGAGGGCGACGACAGGGATGGTGAGCTGTGCTGGTTTATGCACTGGGCCACGGCAAAGCCTGTAAGACAAGGGAGGGTGACGTGATCAAGCAGGAGGAAACCAGCCGACCTAGTGGGAGGGGTCCCAACTATGTGTGGGACTCTCTAGGGTAGGGGTGTCGAACTCAATCAGAGAAGGGGCCAAAATCTAAAATCCAGCCTAAATCGCGGGCTGAATGGTTTACTGAACAGTCATAAACTGTCATTGTGATGGAAACGCAGCGGAGTGCAGCGATGCCACATTGCAAGGCCTGGCGGGACGGATTTGGCCCGCGGGCCTTGTGTTTGACACATGTGCTCTAGGGCCATAGTCTGCAAACTGAGGCTCTTTGGCCCTTTGAGTGTGGCTCTTCCTCAAAATACCACGGCCTGGGCGAGTCTATTTTGAAGAAGTGGCATTAGAAGAAGTTAAATTAAAAAAATCTCAAAAGAAATTTCCATCGTACTGTTGATATTTGGCTCTGTTGACTAATGAGTTTGCCAACCACTGCTCTAGGGCAAGCCCCCCCCTCAAAGGTGGGGCAGGGCCTTTATGTGAAGGCCTCGCTAACCAATCCAAACCCAGCTCCTTGAAGGTCCGGGTCAGCTCCCCAGCTGGAGCAGGGCTGTGAGCTGTAACTCGAAGAGCTTGACCTGGTTCAGCGGCATCCTGGAGGAGGTCACACAGGGATGTGGACCTTTGCTAATGCGCCAGTGCTACCAAAGGCAGGGCACCAGACCCAAACTCAGATGCCACACTGGATGGGAGGGGAGAGCCCCCAACACACCCATGCCATAGAAGTGGCTCTGCTCTAGCAGGTCTAATGGATTGGATGTGGGAGCTATGAAAGCCCTGGTGACAAGCCACCAATTACAGTCATGCACCGCAAAAGGACGTTTTGGTCAACAATGACAGTCCCATAAGAGTATAAGTAGCGCCTAGACAGCGGCTGAGCGGTGACCTATGAACCAAGAGGTCATGGTCTGATTCCTGGTCAAGGCACATGCCTGGGTTGTGGGCTTGATCCCCAGTGTGGGGTGTGCAGGAGGCATCATTGATGCTTCTCTTTTTCCCTTCCTCTCTGAAATATATATACCGTATTTTTCGGACCATAAGACGCATTTTTCTTCCCCCAGAAGTGGGGGGAAAAAGTCCCTGCGTCTTATGGTCCAAATATAGCCTACACATATACTTTAAAAAAAAAGTTTTTTTACTTGCCCGGCTCTGTGTGGTCTCTGTGTGCTTGCCCGGCTCTAAAATGGTTCTAAATGCTGCTGTTTACTTTACAGGGTTGATTACATGTGTTTATGACTGTGATGTTGGGTTTTAATGCACATAAAATATTTTAGGACACTATTTGTTTCAGAATCTTTTTTTCTTCATTTCCCTTCTCTAAAAACTGGTGCGTCTTATGGTCCGGAGCGTCTTATGGTCCGAAAAATACGGTATATATCCATCCTATATAATAAAAGGGTAATATGCAATTTGAACATCATTCCAACACACAAGATGGTCACCACAAGATGACCATCAGGGGAGGGCAGTTGTGGGCGATCAGGCCTGCAGTGGAGGGCACTTGGGAGGGACTAGGCCTGCAAGGGAGGGCAGTTGATGGTGATCGGGCCTGCAGTGGAGGGCAGTTGGAGGGGGGACTGGGCCTGCAGGGGAGGGCAGTTGGGGGCATCCAGGCCAGGAGGAGAGGGCAGTTAGGGTTGACCAGGCCTGCAGGGGAGGACAGTTAGGGGACACCAGGCCAGCAGGGGAGGGCAGTTAGGGGTGACCAGGCCAGCGGAGGAGGGAAGTTAGGAGTGACCAGGCCAGCAGGGGAGGGCAGCTGGAGTGACCAGGCCTATAGGGGAGGGCAGTTGTGGGGGGACCACGCCTTCAGGGGAGGGCAGTTGGGGTCAACCAGGCCAGCAGGGGAGGGCAGTTAGGGGCGACCAGGCTGGCAAGGGAGGGAAATTAGGGGTGACTGGGTCAGCAGGAGAGGGCAGTTGGGGGTGACCAGGCCTGTAGGGGAGGGCAGTTGGGGGCATTTGTGTGAGCAGGGGACCAGTTAGGAATGAATCAGGCTGGCAGGGGAATGGTTAGGGGGTGATCAGGTTGGCAGGCAGAAATAGTTAGGGGTAATCAGACAGGTGAGCTGTTGGGAGCCAGGAGTCCTGGATTAGAGGGTGCAGGCTGTACTGAGAGACAACCACCCCAATGCACGAATTTCATGCACTGGGCCTCTAATATATATATATATATATATATATATATATATATATATATATATATATATATATGAAGAATATAAGAAGCTGAGAAACTCCTGTCACCTACTGATATCATAGCCTTCATAGTACAATGTGTTCATTATGTGTGATTTGTGGTGACCCTAGTGTAAACAAACCTCCTGGACTGCCAGCCGTGTAAACTAGGTATAATATATGACTCATATTGATAACAGACACCTATACTACTGGTTGATGGATTTACTATACTTTTTAAAAAAATTTTAAATTAAATTATTATCTGTGTACATAGTTTAACATTGCCCCCCCTCCCCCGATACATACCCTCCCTCCCCAGAGTTTTGTGTCCATTGGTTGTACTTATATGCATGTATACAAGTCCTTTGGTTGATCTCTTATTTCCCCCAGATCTCCCTACCCTCCCTGCTGTAATTTGACAGTCTGCTTGTTGCTTTACTATCTTTATATCTGACTTTTGGTTCATCAGTTTATAATGTTCTTTAATATCCATAAATGAGTGAGGTCATGTGGTATTTTGGATTTACTATACTTTTTAGCCTTATTTTAGAGAGTAGTCTTTCTACTTGTAAAACGTCTGCAGTAGCTGTGCTGACCTTGCTTCCTGACTGCATCCTCTTCTCGTGCTCGATGGAATTTCCTGCTGTTTTGTGCAGTAACACGCTGTTTGGGCTTGCAGCCTGGGCACCACAGGCAGTACCTGGCAGCCCAGCTGTGTAGCATGTGCACTCTAGGTGCTTGTCCAGTGATGAAACTGCCTAACGACACATTTCCCAAAACAGACCCATTGTTAGGTGGCATGTAACTGTCCAGTTTCACACAGCCCTCAGCAACTCTGGGTTCGGTGACAGGATCACCCATTTTTAGGGCCTGGGGCCTTCCTAGAACAGGGGAATAGATAAGCCCCATGTTTTGGAGTCTTAGGCAAACCCTGCTTCACCACCCAGAAATCCCAGAACATGTGCCCAGTGTTATTTCCCAATCGCTAGCTGGGTGTCTCGCCAACTTCCCATCACCCCACTGCGGGGGGTGCAATGAGAGAGCGCCATCAAACTCCTGCAGGCATGGTGCGTGTGAGTGCAGCGTGCTCTTTACGACGAAGGAGGCCCTTCTGTGTGAGCCCGCCAGGAGCCCCTCCTCCAGGGGATGCGTACTTTTTGTCCTTTTCACAGCCTGCTTTTCTAAAGGGCCATTGCTTCCGATTTTATCCACTAAATCCACAAACGCTCCCATGGAGCAAAGGCCTCTTCAGTGATCCCAGGCGCCTGGGCAGCCCTGCTTGGCCCTGGGAGCTGGACAGGAACAACACACAGGTGCAGGCCCCGCTGCTTTCCTCAGTGACTCAGGAGCAGCACTGAAGGGAAGGGGCAAGGAAGGGGCAAGCCCTCCTTCCAGCTGAGAGTGGGGTCTGGTCCTCCTGGCCGATCACATCAAACCTCTCCTTTGACCCCTGGGTACACTCACCCCGGCCAGCCCTAGGCCTCACTCACTCACCTGCACTGCCCGAGCCTCACATCGTCTAGCTCCTATGGACACTTATTCCAGAAGGTTCTCCAGGCCCTGACCTCATCTTTCTCAGAACCCAGGAAGGTAGCAGGGTACTGAGCAGGGGTCAACAAACTACGGCCCGGTGACTGGTTAGTAAAGTTTTATTGGCACAGCCATCGTCCTTTGCTTACATATTGTCTGTGACTGCTTTTGAGCTATATCAGCGGTGCTAAATAGTTGCCATAGAAACTACATGGCCTGAAATATTTCACTCTCTGGCCCTCAACAGAGTCTGATAGAGGATGGAGCAGGGGTTCTATTCCTGATCTGCCCCTTACCAGTGACGGGGCCTGGGCAAGTCTGCACTTCCCTGAGCCTTCCCTGCACCCACCAGTGGGTGGACACAGGGCCAGTGGGGGGTGTGTGTGTGTGCAAGGGGACCTGCAGCTCTATCCCCTATTAGGACTTAACGGGACCCCTCGGAGGGGCTATTTTGTACTAAGGTTTGTGTGAAGTTATTTTTATCTAAGGATCAGCTCCTTAAAAGCCATACATCTATTTATATCCCAGTCCTCCTGGTTTGGGGTGATGTAATGGCAGGCAGATGCAAGGCCTGGTGGGAGCGTGGGACGTAAATCACCGCACCCTCTTCTGTAGAGGACGATGCTCCCACCCCACCAATGGGCAGAGGTGTGCCTGCTGGAGTTCTCAGGAAAGGCCCTGAGCGGTATTCTGCATGTGTAGTGGGGGGTGAACTATGACAAACCTAGAAACAGATCCAAACACAGCCAGGAAGATCCCAGTGGCAATGAGCCACAGCCCTGCAGAACCAGCTTTGGAGCTGCTTACTTTTGAATCACTCCCAGCGGTAAACCCCCAAATTCACAAGCTGCTTCCTTGCCTCAAAAATGAGTTGCCCCTCAACAAATCAAAATGTCAAGATGGCTTTTCCTGAGCCGTGGATTTGTCAGACCTGTGAGCAGAGGGGCCTGCGAGTGTGGGAACAGAGTTAGGACTAAGAGTTTCACCCTCCAACACCTTGGCCCGAATGGATGAATGATGAGGCTGTCACCAAGGTGACACTCACCCCTCTCTCCCAAGCTCTTTAAAGCCCTGGTTTATTGCCCTAAGACATATTGGGTGGAGCCTGGGGGGAGCGCAGTAGGCAAGGTGCTGAAGCTGCAGTCAGATTACTAAAGTTCCTTCGTTTTGGGAATGGATTGCGGGTCAAGTCATTAACTGGCAATAAACACTGCACATCTGTTGTATGTGCTGAGAGAAAGAAAAAAAGTCACTG